CCACGGATCTGGGGGCAGCTGAGCCCAGCAGGACCGGGCAGCGAGGGTACAAAGCCAGGGAGTCAGCTGGTGGCGGTGGTGTCCTAAGTAGATGGAAGCAAGCTGGCTGTGCCGTCGCCCAGGAGCCTCAACACACCTGCCACCTGCTGACGCCCCTGCTAGTTAGTCCCCACAAGGCAAAGCCTGGCTGGCCTGCTTCTAGCATGTTCTTTATAAGGGTTAGTATCTTCCAGCACGTCCTCTATGTGGACCAACAATGTTCTTGTCTGCCTCTCCTTCACGTGTGGCCACATACGCTCTCACCTATTACAAACCTATTATAAACCAAACTCTGTAGGAGCAATTTGGGGGTTGGGGGGTGGGTGGTGGACCAGCCAAAGTGCTGCTGAGGGACAAACCCTGTTCAGTGTTCTCCCGGGCTGTGCTCTCCCGCATGACGTGTACCTACAAAGTTCCCCTCGGTACCAAATCCACATAAGATGTTCTTATCCCAACTTCCTGTTTTCAGAGCTAATTCTCTCCTTCCGTCAGGGCTATCCATGTAGGAAGTGCTGTCAGAAGATTCTAGAACACAGCCACCCAGGTCATTTCCCTTTTCTTGGATTAGGTAAGTACCATTTCCTCTTGACATCAGAATCACCTGGGGGCTGGTTAAAAACAAACTGATGGACCCACCCCACAAGAATTTGTATTTCTAACAAACTGCGGGTGACACCGATGCTGTGGCCCAGGACCACCGCTCTAGACACACAGCAACAAATCAGAAATAACTTATTTCCGGAAAAATGGTACCCTCACATGTCTGCACTAGAGCAGGATGCGAGTGAGTTTTACCTCTCTTTCCCCTTAAATTTGGATTCTTCCATCTCTTCCTGGGTGAGAGCTGCTATCACAGTGCCCTGGGCCGTTCCCAGAGACACCTGCCACCAGCTGCACAAACTGCAGGTGACTTCAACGCACACTTCCTTGTCTCAAAGCAAACCGGAAATTCATCACATAATTCTTACCACAAAAGTCTTCCCAATTCCTGAAACCACGTATCCTTGGGAACTGTTCAGCGGGTTAAGATCAAACACAAAGCCACTGTTTGGGTCCCTTATGGAACAGGCCTGCAGGAGCAACAGGGGAAAGAGACACAGGAACTCAATAAATACAGAGCACCTCCAAAGCCTGTGTGTATGGACCTCACAAGACATGCACTTCTCACTGACTTTAAACCCGTCAGAAAAGCAGCCCTATGCGTACTCACCGGCCCCTCCAGACACAACCCCTGCTGCCTGCCCCAGTGTGATACTGGGCTCAGAAATATTAACTTACCTGAAAGGTCTTAGGGCTTACAATATTTACCTGGGTAAGAAGACCAATGCTGACCCCCAAGGGAAAAGTTAGGGGGAAACCATAAGCAACCCATAAGTAATCAAAAACAAACAAACTTAGAAAGTTGGTTTAAGTCTTCTGTTTCCATCTCACCTATTCACTTAAAGGCAATGGTGATGGGAGGCATGACGAGGTGCTTCACTGTCTCTTCTCTTCCAGGAGACGTTGTAAACCTCCCCCCCCACCCCATGTCTGTTCTCTGCACAGTCCACCAGATGCAGGGAAATTGGCAGCAGCCCCAGCCCCGGAAAGTATGGCCAAGGACAGAATGCAGCACCCTACCATCCCCGCCCTCCCCAGGCTCCACGAACCCAGGACCCTGGCTGGGAACATTCATTTAGGTGAGCCTGGGCTCTGCTGTCAAAGCGGAGATTTTAAAGGGGGAGGGAGAGAGGTAAGTCCCACCATGAAGAAAACACCTAAGGCTGTGGAAACCACAAGTGTCCCTTCAGAGTCAGAGGATACATCACAAGGCAGCCTGCTGCTATGCTCTGCAGGAGAGGGCTCGCCCAAGGGCACAAACACATGCCAAGGCCAAAGAGCAGGATACACCAGGATGGCAACAGGCACTCAGAAGAAATGGCAGTAACAGGACTGGGATCGGAGTTTTAAAACCTCGAGCATCACACTGAAACAGATGGGGCAGATCCTACAGATGACTATGTTTTAGGTGTTGGAGTGGTATGTTAACCACTCACTTCTCTGCGGTGGTGGAGAATCCCCTGAGCCCACTGGGATGCCACCGCAACACGGAAGGGACAGGGGAATGGAGAAAAAGGAAGGAATCTGCAATCAGCGGGAAGTAAAGCTGAGGGTCTGGTTCTCAGCCCAGCATATGGGAGCTGGGGCAGGGAGAGCAATGCAGGATGACTCCCAGAGGCCTGCTGTCAACATGCAGGACAAGGTGACGCCAATAACAGATTTGGAAGCATGAGGGAAGGGGTGAGTGCAGAGCTGGGACACCCAGGTGGGAAGGTCCAGAGCCAGCTCAGCGAGACGCCCCAAGACAGCACACGTACCTGGTCTGTGTCCGTCATTATTTGGATAGGACAGGCGGCCTCTGTATTCCACAGGAAACTGACCACACACTCCCAACTGAGGGAAAATATGGGGTGGGTATTCTGGAAGATTAAACCCAGGGTAACAGTCAGTATGACAAGATGGGGCTCAATCTCACCAAGACAATACTGGCCTCATATATAAAAATAACCAAACTCTACTGAACATTTAATTATGTGTCTGTGATCGGCTAGCTGCTAGATGTGCACTAGCTAATTACAATTTAATGTCTTCATTATTCCTACTTAAAAAGATGGTACCTCTCAAGCTTGGATGTCACAAAATTCACCTGAGGTCACGTGGCAGTAAACGGCAGAATTGGGGTCCAAATCTGGGTTTGCATTTAAGTCCATGCTCTTGAGAAACGCTCTACGCTAAGAGTATGCAACGTAAGAACCCAAGCACAAAAGGCTACAGTGTGCGAGATTTCAGCTACATAAGCTCAAAACTGGGGAAAAGTGACCTATGGTGTCAGAGGCCAGCACAGGAGTAGAGAAGTGACTGGAAGGGGCACTGGACGCCTCCCGGGTTGCTCTCAGTGTGGCTGCTCTAGGTGGGGTCTGGCTGCACAGTTCTGCTCCACGTGTGAACACTCACCCAGCTGTTAGTGTAACTTACACTCCGCGCACTTTTCTGAGTGTGTTCCAGTAAAAAGTTCCCCAAACATGTGTGGGGCCACGTTCTGCAGGCAACTGCAGCTCACACGGAGAGCGCTTATCGCAGCACTAGGAGTTTTGTTAGCATTTCTCAACGGAGCCTCACCATGACCCCGGGAGCCAGGTTCTGTCATCACCCACTGTGTGTACACAGACGAGAACACAGGGGCACAGAGATCAGGACACCCGCCCAGGCCCACAGGAGAAGGAAATAGCGGCCATCTGACGGTGAGCCCACACCTCGCCCACGGAGCACTCTCTGGCCTGGAAGTCCCCCACCCTCTCAGCCTTGGCTTCCGTCACAGTAAAACACATCTGCCCCTTCTGCCTCACAATGTGGTTGTGAAAAGGAGCTGCTTTAGCCGTGAAAGTTCTGAAAGTTCTGTGGCTTGCAGAACCTTGCAGATGCGACCTCTGCTCATGGTCTCTGGCTGCACAGGGCATGGCCAGCCCTACATGGGCACTCAGAGATACGGTGACCATGGGAGGTCGCCCCGAAAACTACAACACACTGTCCACATAAGGTGTCACAGGAAAGCTGAAAAACTAAGGCTCCCGGAGAACCTCCTGGAACAGTCCAGTATCTCCATGGCAACAAGAGACCACATGGGAAGGGGAGGGCGGGCCAGGCTCTAAGGAGGGGACACGGACATGCCCAGGGGACAGCAAGGGCTGGCCTGGGCAGCCGGGAGTTCTTCCTGAGGCTGAGGAAGAAAGCAGCAAACCCAACCCCAGGCTAATCAAGAAGTGTGTTTACAGTTCGGCCATGGAACACCTTTCTTGCACAACACGGGCCCACGCTCATCCAGCTAATAACTTCATCCCCTTATCAGAGACCCCTTCTTGACCTCTAAAGAAATCACATCTTGGAAAAAAATCGTGTGTTTGCAAATGACACAGAGAACTCGGGATCTGGAGGGCACCTGGAATGTAGGTGACAAAGTCCACGGGACGGCTAGCACTGGATACACTGTGCTCTTCACTCAATGAAGCAGAGGAAGCTGTAACAGACCCTCAGCACGTGTACCTGACTCTTTCCAATAATTTATTTGATAATAAACATGAATTCCATTATCTCCACTCTGCATTCATCTAAGAGTCTGGCAATTATTCAAAAAACACATGACCCATATAAATGTGAAACTCCAGGTAGAAAAACAATTGGGTTTGTGATAGCCAAGTTCTGGGCTTGAGTGCCAGGGATGGTATGTAACACCGTGAAGATATTTAATGCCACTGAATTATACACCTAAAAAAGGCTTAAATGGTACATTTTATTTTTTTTCCAAAGATTTTATTTGACAGAGAGACACAGCGAGAGCAGGAACACAAGCAGGGGGAGTGGGAGAGGGAGAAGCAGGCTTCCCGCTGAGCAGGGAGCCCGATGTGGGGCTCGATCCCAGGACCCTGGGATCACGACCTGAGCCGAAGGCAGACGCTTAACAACTGAGCCACCCAGGCGCCCCTAAATGGTACATTTTATGTTATTTGTATTTTTACCAACTTTTTTTTTTTTTAGGAAAGCAACTGGGACTGTACAATGACCCCCAGAGCATTTTTATTTGTGGAATTTTTTCTTCTGTTCCGCCCTGGCTGAGGAACTCAGGGCCAAAAACAATCTCTGTAACTTTCTCTATTTCCCGGCCTTCATTTTTTCTACTTGATTTGCCCACATATTACATATATAACCCTCACTGTTCATCTGTGGCCCCGAGTGGCACTGAGCCCTGGCTTCCTCATCCCTGAACGTTGGGGTTCAAGCCAAACTGTCCCTAAGACCTGTTCTGTTGTCAGGATCCTCGATCACCAGCTGACAAGAACTAAGGGACAGGATGGCGTCCACACAACCCAGAGTGAAAATGCCACCCCCAGACTCCATCTCCAGAAGAGACACATAGGCTAGTACTCAGTCACAAAAGACCCTGAAGGAACCAAGGTCACAGGCAACGCGCGCCTTACCAGGCTGCCCCTGGAACAGACGAGATGGATCCTCGTGGTGTAGGTGGTCAGCCTCCCATCGCTGGTGGTGCACGCGGAGCCATTCACATACTCTATGAGGAGGCTGCCGCTGTCCTCCACCGTAGGGCCTGTCTTTGCGACCCCCAAGTTACTGATGGACACTACCTCAGAAAAGGAGCCCTGCAAACAAATATGTCTGTTAGGTTTTCCCTCTGAAGAGAAAACACGGCTTCTTCGTGACTGCCACATTTGATTCTTGTCATTCACAGCACTCCTGTTCTATAAAGTTGCCACAAACACTGACCCGTCACTCCCAGGGGAAACACGTGCCCTATACAGACACCATCCCACAGAGATGATGATCTTAAATCCTAAGAACAACTCCTGCGGGCAGGTTCTATTTTATTTTACGAAAGGGGAAAGGAGGTTCAGGCCGCCCCGCCAACAGGCATCCAAGGCAGGCCTCGAGCCCTGTCCTCCCAGCCCCGAACCAGGAGCCTCTGGCGCTCCCCCACCCGGCCCCTCGTGTCTCCCTCCCACAGTCATGGATAGGAGAACCTTCGAGAAGGCAGAGCTTCCCCTGGCTCCACCTCTGCTGGGAGTGCGCACTGTGGGGCCACTGCACACACATCCACAAAGGACTGAGGGCGCCACAGGTTTTGATTTGGGGCCACAAATCTGTGCCAGAACCCGTGGATAATGAGGACTGACTGACTGTACTCTGAAGTCATCGCTCCAACAAAGAGTGCACACAACATGTGTGCACATGCATACACAGCGGGGAACGTAATTCCTAACCACCAGAGTGCGCTCACCAGCCGCCTTAAAGCACCTCCAAGCTGCCCTGTACCAGGCGCCAGGAAAAGTACATTCCCGACATGCTATTTTTAAAGAAGCACACATACGTCTTTAAGATTCACTGTGTATGAGGAACACAGGGAACGTCCCAAAGTTCTGGCAGTCACTGCATTCGATCGGTGATGAGGTGCAGCCCGGCACCGCGAGTAAGTGCGAAAGCTTGGATCTACCTCAGCCACAGCAATGGTCCCAAGCCGCTCTCCCCCTCATGAGCCAGAAGCAAGAGCTTCCGGAGGAAAAACTATTCTTCACAGAGGTTTACGGACTGAAAGACACTTGTGAGCTCGGGCTAGACTAGCCACCAGGAGCTTCCTCTGCCCTGTGCCGAGATCGGAGGCCACCAGCACCATGGCATTTTGTGAAGTTCTAAACCTGAACGACGACTCAAGCGTGATCACATCTGTGGGGGGGCCCCTACTCTTGCTCAGGGGGCTTCGCCTCAGCAGCCAGGCCTACTCTAAAATAACTGCCTCCACCGAGTCACGTGCTCCAGACGGAGTGCGAGACTCACCTGATCATTGTTGTATTTCATCTGGCACACCGACGCGTATCGATCACAGCCTGGCACTGGGTTCAGAGGTCGACACACGTTTATGTAGTATTTCCTCCATGTGCTGTGCTTGCCCGCATTGTCCATGGCGTACCAGTTTCCTCCACGACCACCTTCAGATTTTGCTAGACTAAAATTTCAAAGCAAAATGCATGGTTTTGATGCTATCAGATTTCAGTCTGACAATTCACTTCTAAGTAGTTATGGACATACAGAATGAAACATGCCCTACCAATCGAACCATGGAACGTGGCTCACCGTGACTCACAACACCCACGACTATCTCGACCTTCACTGAACTCGTCACACTCGGCAGACCCTGCACCGGCCCCCTCCCCCACACCTCTGTACTGATAATCCTGTTTTAAATGATGCAGCTGAAGACAGACTCCGCTATGGCAAAGAGCACTGGATGTCACAAAGGCTACCAGACCATTATTAGAATTCATTCTGCTTAAAACTCCCCATCTTGGTCCTGCACCCCCAAAACTTACTTGTGTCCCCATTATCCACTCAGTTATGTGCTCACCAGCAAAGCCTAAGCCAACTTAGCACTACACTAGACCCAGCCCGGGGCCAAGGCCAAGGGCAGGCTGACCCTGGCCTCACCTGGAGAGATCGTACTGCTCCAGCGTGGAGGGGTCGGTCACCACACACTCCAGGGGCTCCTCCGGGCAGGCGTAACTGGTGTACCACCGGAAGTTGTAGGTAGAGTTATCTTCCTCCTAATCACATGACAAGGAGAGAAACGGGAGGGATGGCAAAGAGAAAGGGGAATGTTAACACAAAGCCAGCATTTATGGGCATTTTCTGTAAATAAGAACTAGAGGAAAGAAAGTCTACTTTGCCCGTCTACATTTGTCTTATTAAAATGAAGATTTCCCAGTAATAAATTAATCTAGCCTCAGTTAAGTATCATTAGGATGATTTTTGATGCAAGTTTCGTACACAAAACCAACAGGGTGGTGGGTTACCAGCGAGGTGTATGGCCCACTGAATAACCAGCTCAGATGAATACTGCCTATGTACCCTGGCAAATCTAAGAAGATTAATTAAAATCATAGAAGAGGATGATTTGGCCAGGAAACCAGACTAATAATAGTTCTGCTTCCAAATAAAAGGGCCACGACAGGCTCCTGTGTTAAGTCTCAGGGAGACAGACAAGTTGATGGTTTCTCCCCAGGAAAAACCATAGCTCACACCTCACCTATGGTTAGAACCACATTTCATTCCAGAAAAGCCACAAGCCCTGTTCTACCCACTTTTTTCTTTCCCCCTGCCTTTATGAGACTGGCGTTCTCTCCCTCCCGGCTCTCATGATGGAAGCCCACACACATGCACACACCACACAGCTCCTACCTGATATTCAGGGAGACCGACTCCAGCCTCTCGGTCACAGAGGAAGGTGATCAGTGTAGCTCTCGGTGTATGCTTTCCATTATTATAGGGCATGCCATCTTTATAGTTCAACTGGATCATCCCATCATAATATGACAGTTTAGCGTTACTCAGTCCCAAGTTCCAAGCCTTATTACCACTAAAATGAGCAAACAAATGTCTCTCAGCAAGGCCAGCAAGGCCAGAAGCGCTGCCATGCTGGGACACCGGGGCAAGGCCGCTGCACGGTGGGGTGGGGGCGAGGTCCATGACCCAGGGCTGCAGATCACCAGGGTCTGCAGTGGGGCCAAAGGGCAGCCGCACCCCCACACCAGGACCCAAGGCCACGCTCGGTCTGGCTGGTTTAAGGTACAACCACCCTGCCTGAGCTATTACCACACTGAACAGAGAGACCTGTGTGCATCTAATAACTGAGACATGCAGGCTACACTGAAACTAGGTATTAGGTAAAGTCTAAGGCTGCGGCCTGCTCCTTTTCCAGGAAATTCAACTCCTAGCATCCTCTGGTTTTGAGGCCAGGGCTTCTTAGGGTTGCACGCTCCTTGAAAAGCAATGATGTCAGTAGAGAATACACGTACTCCTGAATAAAATATCTGCTATTACAAGATGCCTAAGGAAAGCCCATAACTAAAAAGTAAGTTACTTGCCTTTTTGCTACTTGACAGGCTCCGGAGTCCGGCTGACAAGAACTCACAGACACCGCACCACAAACATTTATGTAAAAGTCATACTTGTCTGTCTCAATTTTATATGCACCATTTTTCTTTGTGAGAGGTGACAAATCAAAAGAAAACCCTAAGAAAGAGTAAAAACGATGCCATATGTAAGGTCAGTCGGACCACAGGGGAGAAGGGTGGGTCCAAGCTCACAGCTTCAAAGACAGACTTCCCAGGAACTGGCCAATGGTAGGGAGCCGCAAGATGGCAGAAGAGATGCTTTCCCCTTCGGGCCACCAGAACTGCTCTTATGGACATCTCCCCTGGAGATGGATTCACCACTAGCATTCCTGTTTTACTGTGTTAACCTAAAAACCCTATGCAAAGCCCATAACTGCTGGATGAATAAACAACCAGTATGTTCAAAGCTAGATGACCACAATCCAATGACCTGTAAGGCGGGTTTCTAGGGCATTAACTTATGCAAAAAGCCTTTTCAAACACCATTGATTTCTTTGTGATCCTCACGTTCTGCATTCAGCTCACACCTAGCTCTACCATGCATCGAAGGGGTAGGCTTCTCATTATCTCAACCCCAAATGTCAGACGTCCAGAATTTAGGTTAAACAACATTAGTATAATTCTGAAGTGGGTTATCTCTAAAACGCTCAAAGAAAATATGCAAGGAAAAAAAAAAAAAAACCTAAGCCGTTCGGGGGGGCAGCCGACCACCAAGGTGCTGTGCGGGCACGCACCTGCCTGGGAGTCAAAGACCGTGCAGTTCTCGCCCTCCGTCTTCGACAGCACGCAGGCTGCGGCCGTATGCCACTCGAACTCATAGAAGCAGCCATTATCCTCAGAGGTTCTCAACACCGGAGCGCTTTCCAGATCACCTGCCAGCGAGGAAGACAAAGGTATCACTAATCGGTCCTCAACTAAAAATACTCCCACAAATACTGGGATTCCGCCGGCATGAGGTTCTTAGAGTAGTCAAACCTGCAGCGGCAAGAAAGAAGGGCGGGTGCCAGGGGCCGGGGTGGGGAGCTCGTGTCCAGTGAGGACAGAGTCTGTCTGGGAAGATGAGAACGTTCTGGAGGCAGATGGTGGTGATGGCTACACAACGCTGTGCATGTGCTTCATGCCACTGAACCGGGCACCTTAGGAAGGCCAAAATGTTGAATTTCGTGTTATGTGCATTTTACGACAGTTTCTTAAACATGGTAAATTCTGCATGTATTCCACCACAATTCGAAAAACACTCAAAAACAAAAAACAGTCCTAGCCCTTGACCTTATCCCACAGCTGGGCATTTATCCAAAGAAAATATTTCAACAGGAGGCGGACAAGGGATCTGCAACAGCACAATCACCAGCCCTGGAAACACGCTATTAATCCAACAATAGGGGAAACGTTTAAAAATAGTAAGACCAAGCCATTATCAACAAGGAAGTCCCTAAAAATTATTAATATAATTGCAGAACACAGAAGAGTATTCACAAAATGCCATGTTTTGAGGAACGTTGAAAAAAAATGTCTGAATATATACAGATTTTGACCCTGTAAAAACAATGTAAACCTATAAATAAAGATAAGTGAAGAAGAGCATTGTGTTTAAAGGGTGAGATCACGGACAATATTTTTCAAGCGCTTACGATTTTCCCCCTTTGGAGGAAGTTAAGCAGCCGACACGGCCGCTCGGTATCAGTCCTGAGGAAGAGGAAGCCACGCTGAGACCCATAACTCATTTGGAAAATTGCAACATGACGCTCTCGACACCATATGGTTTCTCCATTTCTGGACTGGTTTTGGGTGGGGGTTGGGGGCTCAAATCCCACAGACCACCACTGAAGGTTCTAGAACCGGAAATGTACACAACACGACCCCTTTCTACCTCCCCCTCTGAGCAGTGGCCTGTGAGAAACAGAGAAACGAAGGATGCAGGCTCACCCGGAGCAAAAGCCACCACAACATGTCACCTCTTCCCTTTTTCAAAAGTGCTCACCTGGCTTGCAGATGAGTGTTATGTTAGTTGTTATTTTCCTGTGGCCACAGTCACTACCATCTGAATACGAGAGCTGAAGGTTCCCTCTCTCTTTTGTGGGAGAAGAAATAAACTTGCCTAGACTTTTAAATCCACTCTTATCTGGAAAAAAGGGGAAAAAACAGAAGACATGATTAAAAATGATAATGACCCAGAGAAGAGTTACAAACATGTCAGCCAGGACCCAGCAGGGGTGCCATGGCCCCTTCCCCAACCTGCCCAGCCTGGCCCCGTGGTCGGTGGGTTTTTCTCAAGGGACAGGTTTGGCCGGGCCATGCAGCCACACTGAGGACGCCAAAGCCACCCCAAGGCTCAGGGAGACAGGGCAGTAATGATAAACAACGTCCTGCTCCGTGGGCACGAGAGGCAGACAGCAAGGTTGCATGTCACACCATCCCAGGGTGCCCCTATTTCCAGGGCCTCGGCTCCCCTGAGACACAAGGTCTTTTGAAAGCACAACCAAGAGGCTAGAGTTTGTCCCAGGACCAAAGCAGAAACAACTGAACCTGTCCAGCAAGCCAGGAAGGTGACTACTTCATTCTTGGGTCAGCTGACTTTACTATGAGGCCCTGAAACCGTCCCCAGTCCTGCTTACCCAGACGCACGGGCATGCCCGGACCTGCTTCGAAAGACACATCAGCAATTCGGAATATCGGGGTAATTCCTAAAACCCAACCTGGGTTCCTAACTCCTTATCTAATCGTAACAGATTCTGATTACTCTCCCTGCCTCTCATTTTCCAGGTGAGTCTGAAGTGGCAGACAACTAACGTGCGAAACGTCTGTATCAAACTACGCAGTCTCTGCAGGAAAACCACAGGACCGACAGAATTACAGCAAAAGGAACCCAAGGGGCACAAGGACTCTTCTAAGGAGCGTACAGCGAGGTGCCCCTTGTCTAAAGCCGTAACTTAACAATCACGGGCAGTAAAGCGTTAAAAACTCACAATCAGTTTTACACAAATACTGGCAATGTTATTCTTCAAGTTACAAAGGGGAAAGATAACCAAGTAATTCCCAGCCTGGCTCTTTCTGTTCCCAGTTACGGCATTAGCTGACCTCAGAAGCCTCTGGCCAACTTCAGGACAGCGGAGCGCCAGTTTCTAGAGCACACCAAGCAGTTACCTACGTGTGAGTCATGAACTTTTTTTCCTCCCCATCCTGTATATGCTGAACCCAGAGAGAGGAGACTGACAAACCACAGGAAGATTCTCTAATTCGCTCCAAACTGGATGCAGCGGAGTCCCACGCGCCTCTGGGGAAACCACTACCGGGATCCCGCTCTGGGCACAACTCACCAACAGAGCACACGGCCGCATCTTCAGGACAGCCTCTGGCCTGGCCTTCCTGAAGCACTTTGTGGCAGATATTAATGAAGAAGTGCTTCTTTTCTGTTTCCCTCTGACTGCCATCCACAGCTTCCCAATTCTGTTCCGGTTCTGTAATTTAAAAAAAAAAAACTTTTAGCCAAAGGCAGTGATTATTTCTCTGTGAGTCACACCATAAATGGTGATTAAGCCAAAGGAAAAGGCCCAAAGCTCATCAAGCATGTAGTCCCTAAACCTCAGGCACTCACGTTTCTGGACGCAGGCAGACCAAAGGCACAGAAATTCACCGAGACCCTCAGGCTCCTCACCTCACGTGATAGTAACAAAGCATGGCCCAATACCTCCTCAGAAGAGTAGGCTTACCAGGGGGTAGGGAGAGAGAATCGAACAGCGAAACTTTCCCAAGCACCGAAGTGTGAAATCAGAAATGGAAAAGCAAATCTGGCTGGCAGCCCGTGCCTTACAAGGGGCAGAGCACCACGCCATCAGTCCCGCGCCCTCCTCCAACCACCAGGAAGGTTAAAAGCACCTGCCCCCTCTTCCACACCAGCAGACCGAGTGCGGGCCATGCTTTGTTTCTGGAATCTAACAAGACACGTCGGTCCCTGAGCTCAAACAGCTTGTGAGCCAGTCATGTATGAACAGGACCAAAACACCACAGAAGGCCGAAGGAGCACACGTAAGCGCTAAGAGCAGGACCGGCACACATCGGAGGCGTCCCGTAACGAGTGGCCAAAGGGATGAATTAGAAATGCGTGTGAAGGGCGTACAGAGACTGAAGGCACTCCTTTTATGGACAGGACGCTGGGGTTCAGGCGGGACAGCCCACCGCTCGTCAGAGTAACAGTTACTCTGAAAAGCTATGTGCCAATGTCAACAACCGAGAAGAACCCATTGGAAGCCATGCAAAGACAAATAGGGACAAGGACAGGGGGAGTGGGGTGGGCTGACAAGCCGTAAGACAGGAGGACTGTTTAAGCTAGCAAGGAAGGAGTTCTAAGAGCATCCTGAACGGTCTGCGTGAATCCTGCAGAAATGCCCAGGTCCCTGGAGGGCCCGGGCGGTGGCATGCGTCCGCTGCGTGAGTGCGTGTGTCTCTGCATCCCTTAGGGCCCCATGTGTGTCCTGTACTCGGTGATGTTTAAACAACAGTGCTGGACAAAGGGACCTAACTGCACCACCCAGTTTACTGTGACAAAGCCGAGGCCCGCAGAAGACAGACAACTCACTCAGAACCACGCACAACACCGTGCTCTCTTTCCAGCGCACAAAGCCGATCTCTTCACGAACACATATGTACCGCACTGAACCATGGCACCATTCCCGCTGAGCGGGCGCTGCGCTACTAACACACAAAGAACATTTGCTTCCGAGGCAATTCACCAACACTGAACATTTACAGAGGTCTCGTGCCAAAAAGAAGCTCTCCGACGATCCTTACAAGTGAGGAATTCCTTTTTCTAATATTATGCTGTCCAAACCAGATGGGGACTCAGAACCCATGAGTAATCACTCCTACGCACGGGTAATTCTGTGACTCTAGGCAAGCATTCTCTCTACCTCAGATATTATCTCTACAGATGCAATTTGCTTCTACTTACACCTAATTCCAGGGCTGCTGAAACGGTGAAACTAAAAATGTCCCAACTCGATTCTGCTTCCCTCTTGGGAACCCTGATTCTTAGCACTCGGTCTCTCGGCCCCCTGTGAAGTTTGAAGGCCTGGGGCAAGGGTCATGCCCGCCAGGTTTGCTGCCATATCCCCAGGACCTGGTCTGCACCTGCCACGTAACCAGTGCTCAACAACACCTGCTGAGCAGATCTCCAGCTCGGCAGGTCTCTACTGTGATGGCAGGCCTCGGGGACAGACCACGTCACATAGATGTGGCAAGGGACACAGCATCCAAGGGCTCCCACACTCATTCTCCTTTCGGCCCCACAAGCATCTGAGGTGAGACAGGGAATGCTGACCCCACCTTAGAGATGGGAAGAGACGGTGAGACAAAAGGGGAGAGCACAGGGTCAAAAGACAGACCGACCCCAGCCGCATCGGCCTTCACACCGAGGGTCCGACCCTCAGAGCCCGACAGGCTGGGGCGAGGTGGAAACACGGCCTGCTTGAAGCCTGCTGCAGAACTTTTTATTCTTTTTAACTGAGATGTAAGTGACATGGAACACGGCAGTCGTTTTAGGTGGACGACATCCTGACCTGATCTGTGTGCAGGCTGTGTGTGGGAGAACCCCCACGTTTAATTACCATCCATCACCATACACAGATACGTGTGTGTGTGTGTGAGAGAGAGAGAACTTTCAAGATCTACTTTCTTAACAACAAGAATGTAGATCTAAAATAAAAAACTTCCTAATCACAGAGTACAAGACCTGGGACTTGGCAGTTTTTACTAAACTAGGGTAAGATTAGCCCAGGGCATCCCAATGAGAAGAGTCATGCCAAGCTCAAACTCAGGTATTTTGCCTCCTAAGTCAGCATAATTCCTAATAATTTGTACGACTGCTTTGTGAAAAGAGGGACAAGGCCAGGATACAATTTGTTGACAGTTGAAGAAAAAAGCAACAGCATTTCCAAATGTTTTCACAGGGAAAGAGGCAAGAGAAGGTTCCTGTGAACAGGCAGATGGAGCCCCACGGCGCGCAAGCCCTACCTGAGTGCCGAGCCAGCGCAGACAGGTCGTACCGCTTCTTCCCGTCGGCCACACTGCAGAGGAGATCCTCCTTCTCCTTCACACAGGCGTACTTCGTGTCCCACGTGAAGAAGTAGGTGCAATCTACCTCCCCACTGAATACAGGAGCTCCTTTCCCATCATTACCTGTGCAATTTGAGAAGGGGGGGGAAAAAAACACTTCATTATATGTAACCAAAACCTAGTCAGCCCATTGGCCACCAATGCCAACTGGGCAGTTAAACTCAAGTCCCAAACCCAAAGCTGAGGCTTTGGGGTCATCAGAGGGGTCAGAGGTTAGAGAGGCTTCTCTTGCGTTTCAGACAATCATAAACCCCTCAATAGCAGGCCTGTGTCCCTTCCACCTCGGTAAGACGGTCTTAGTAAGCCATCAGGCTGTTTACAACACATTCACTGTGGGTGCCTAACAAGGAACATGTAAGCCACCAGGCAGGGCTTGCTGCACACGGGCTGTGGTCAGCCCCCGCACAGGCGCATGAGTATCCTCTGCGTCAGACGACAGGGATTCACCAGAAGGCGGACAGAGACCAGAGCTCGAGCCCCAGGAGCGCCTCTGGCTTTATGATGCAATTTCGGGCAGGGCGAGTTCCCGGAGATTCATCCCTAACCAGAAAAGAAAGAGTGAGAGTGTAGAGCTACCCCACTGAACTGTGCGGAGGCCCACGTCACCTCCCAAAGCCAGAGGCATGCCTGCCGGCATTCCAGCATCCTTGAGCCCCAGGCCTTCATCGGAGCGGCTGCCTCCAGCACCCTACCATAATCCATACGCTGCGCGCCACACCTCCAGGGAGCCCTGAAAGCCAGCTCTTCATAGGCCACTTCCCTGATCCACGTAGCCTGGGATTCGGCAAACTCTGGTCATTTTTCCCTTACTAGAAATACTACCCCTCAGCTTTCCAAGCTGGTAGACGGCTGGCACGGAGCTCTGTTTTCCGCCCCTTGATGGTTTAATAATCCTCCTCTGGACCTCCTACATGATTTGCCTTTCTTGAGGTTTGGTGCCCTGAAGTGCACAATGTTCTAAAGCAAAGGGAAATAATATTTTGTACCAAGGGCAAATGATGTTTTGATTGTAATTTCTCTTAAGTCTTTAATATTATAAACATTGTAATTGTAATACCAGCAAGAGCAGCTAGGGTGTACGGAGCACAACCTGAACCAGGCACTGAGCATCAAAGGGCTACAGGCAGGAGGTCTGCAGAAAACAGGCTCAGGGTTGAGGACCTGATAGATCTTGGCATATTTAATGCCACGGCACAGATACAGTTTCAGCCCCATTTTTGCAGATTAAGGGGGGGGGGGTAAATAATTTGCGTACAGTCTTATAGCTAGAAGCAAAGGAGTCGGGATTCAGACCCAGACAGTCTGGCCCCAGAGCCAGGCTCATAACCATAACCACAAGCAATACTTCCCTACACTACTGTGGGGTTTTTTTCTTTCTTTTTTTCTTTTAAATGTATGTACTTTAAGCCATTCTTTTTAAGATGCAGCACTCCCAGCTTCCCTTCTGACAACAAAGAGCCCCCCCCCCGGCCCCGTTTGGGACCGCTGGGGCCTCCCTCCATGCGTGCTACCCCAACCGCGGACCCCAACAGCACCTCTTCACCCCGCCCACAGGATGGAAGGACGAGCAGCTTACTCCTGCTGGACCTGTTGGGTTTGCATTTCACTACCTGGAAAAGATTTGTGTTTCCGACAAACTTGACATATTCGCTGCATTTCTCTTTCACCAGTAAGTTCACAAATCATTAAATAATACTAGGAATGGTTCGAGAATCCATCCCCACTTTGGAGCTGGTTCTGCATCTGAAATTTACTGCTTGAGGGAGCGCTAGTTTTCAATAATCACTGGTGTATTATTTCATTATTCAATGAATTTTAGAAAAATGAAACTCGCCGGCTCAGGGGAAAATGGATTCCTGCAGCAGAACCCAGTCACCCTCTGCCTACAGCACCGTTCCACCTCATGCGATGGCAAAGACAAAGCTACCCATGCACCACACTGGTTTAATTCTCCTTCTAGCTGTGCAGCTAAACTGCATTGCCCAGCCTCCCTGCCTCCAAAGTTGGGCCATGCCACTTAGTTCCAGCCCATCTTTTAAAAAATGCCGTTCCCATTCTGCAGAGTCCTTGGAGGCCAAGTCTACAGACAGCAACACCACGGGATGGGACGCACGAGAGGAGCACGCAGAGCCGAGCCCCGCCACCAGCACCTCCGACGACCTGCACTCAACTAAAGAAAATAAACCCTTAACGGAGTGAGTCCATTAAATCTGTGGGTACCTCTGTACCAGCCTATTCCAATATATCACTCGTCCAAAAAGAGCGATTTCATGTCCTTATCTGACAAGATCACCAACAGTAAGTGTCCCATTACAGCAAACTCGATGTTAGCTGCTGAAACGAATGGCTGTGTATATGTGTGCACATATACAGGCTCAAAAACAAACGTATGCACCTCTGTCTTAAAAATGCATAAGCCCTAGATTCGTGAACATATATAACTCTAGAACATCCAACTTAAACTATAAACCACGTTATATCACATAACCAATTAACAGCCATTCACATACAAAAATCACATTATTACATTTATCCAAATAAACAAAATCCACCAAGGGATTTTTCTCTAAGAACTCTAAACTTAAGATTGAACACAATAATAATGAAATAACTTTTACAGTACACAGTCTGCTCCAAAGTTTGAAGGACTGAATCATGGAGCTGGAAGGAGTCGTAAATATTTTATGACCCTACTCCAGCCTGAGAGCAGGCTCAAAACCTCTCACAAAACATCTAACATCTCCCTGTCTGGTCTTCTTGCCACCATCCTAACTAAAACAGCCTAGGAAGACACTGAGTTTTTGGCATGAGGACATCTCTGTGAATCCTGTCAGGTCTGATAAAGGCCCTGAGGTCACGTGAAGGAACGGACACGGGGTGGAATGTTCTGATCCGTCAGTGGTGACGTAGAGTTTGTATGAAGCAAATTTGGCAAAACATTAGCAACTGTTCAATAAAGAGCAGTGAGCATATAAATTTTCATCGTAATGTTCTACTTGTATGTTTGAAAACCTTTAGTAATAAAGATAAAAGAGGAAAAAATGGCCGTTAGCGCTTTTTTCAAGCGCCAGCATGTTCCAGCACAAGCCTTGAGTGTTGGCGCCTCTTCCTAGCAGTCCCAGACTATGTACCCTTCTCAATATCCTCCTCACCTGCTGGGATCTTTTTAGATCATTATTCTATCTTCCCAGCATGCCCAAATGAGATCAGTGTGCGCGCAAAGATCTCAGCCAAGTCATTTATAAAAAGCCCAGAACAGAATGGGGCCAAAAGGGGTAACGACAAGGTCGGAGGGAGACTTGAACCACAGGAGTTGGCCAACAGCAAAGCGGCTCGGCCAGCAAGGGAGGGCGGGCGCCCGGGGGCCTGAAGGCCTGGGGACACAGCGTGAGGAGCAGGGTGCATTTCCCAGGCCTGGGGACATAGTGAAAGGGCTGGACTTCAGAGACAGTCCCCTAAAAGCCTGAAGAGGTGAGAAGGATGGAAGAAAGATGGGGGGTCTGGGGAGGGCAGCAGGGGGGCATTCAAACCACATGCGAGAGGCACCCAAACCAGAGTCATTCACCCTCCACCTCAAGTCCTGGGGACTCCACACTGATTTCTACAGAAAATCCAACTCCTCTGCAGGACGTACAAATTTCTCACCCTCCATTTGAGGGTCATCTTTAGCCATGTGCATTCTGAATCCGAAGCTCTGACCCAGTCACACCTGCCCACACTCAGGCCTTTGCATGAGCTGCTCCCTCTGCCACAGAGACTGGTCCCCACAGCCACCCTACTTGCGTGCCTGACTTACTCCGACTCGGCCCACAGAGCTCACCAAGCAGCACCTCCTCTTTCCCTGACAGCCCTGATCCTCCTCGTTGTCCACACCCCAAACCACTAACTCGCTGCCTCCCTCCTGACAAGGTCCGGGGTGCAACACTCGCCCGCAGCCCTGGTCCAGCCTGCACGACCCGCCCTCCGGGCACCGTGCCGTCTCTCCCTCTATACTCCCAGTCTGAGCGCCTGGAAAGCGCACAGCCATTACGGTATCCTTGGGCCTCATGGGGTCTAAGCAGATAGATAAGGACAAAATGTATGCTGAGCAAATCCACTTGAATGTGGATGTTATCAAAAGGGCCAGCAAGCAGATTCCAGGGTGAGACTGGAGTGCACGCTCTGGGAAGACAAGCAGAGGTGAAGGCGGCAGGGGGGGCGGCAGGAGTGAAGGGCACTTTGATTTAAAGCCTTCCCGTCTGCTCTACTCCAGGATCCTTCCTCGCCTGTTCCCGAGGCAATTTATTAGAGCCTGGTGCCCGTCACAACCTCCCTGGCCCCCTTCACCGTCATAGGCTCGAGGTTCTAGAACAGGCACGCCGTTTGCAGTTGCCTCTCCCTGAGCCCCTGCTGAATCACAGAGGAACCTGCCTCATGACCGCTGGTCTAAGCTCTGCCATAGAAACGCAAAAAACAAACAGAACGAAGAGCCAGAAGGACCCTCAGGGGTGGGGCAGCCTCTCGAGCCTCTGCGGCCGTTCTGCGGCTATACGGCCGACTGGAACCGGGCCAGCTCCAAAACAAGAGCTCCATGTAGAGGCTCAGTCCGCCTGCACACACCTGGGGTCCCAGCCTGGACGCTGACGGACGGGACGGCTCTCTGATGATGATGGGATCCCATCACTTCGCTGCAGATGCAGACTGCGCCCGAGAGCTTCAAGATACGGACCGCAGCACGGCTTTCTGAACTGCTGGCGCCATTATGACCTCAAGAAAGCTTATCCTAATCTCTCAGAAAAACCAAACGTTCCACTTAAACTTGCCCGGTGACCTCTTGCAATCCCCCATGTCCAGCCTCCACCACAGGGCCACTCATTTGGGCCACTCGTTTGCATAAAGAGTCGTCTTGAGACTAACTTCAGAAAAGAAGAGCTCTTTAGTGACCACCCCTCGAGGGTAGGGAGTAAACCCACCCTGCTGGACCAGCACTCACTTCGGTGCAAGCCAGAATTCAAGACAGAAACGCTTTCCCAGCAAGCCCAGTGCTGGGCCCCTTCCCAAAACAAACAGAGAGCAGAGGAAAATGGAAACAGGATGTGTGTGTCGTGGGTGGGGTGGGATGGAAGGGGTACTCCTGCCCGCTCCAAGAGAGCAACCTCGTCTGGGGACCAGAGGTGGTCACGTCCAAAGGAGAAGGTCTGCCTGGTCCGTCTGCACGCCGCTCCCAAGAACACACATGCTCCCATCACTGCAAAGGGCAAGGACAGACCGCCGGCACTCACCTGCCGTCTTATTGCACTCGAAGTTTATGACGCTCATCCGCTGGAACCCAGAGCTGCATTCGTCCCCTCCAGAATAGATCAAGGTGAGGTCTCCGTCGGAGTACCTAGATGTTTGCAACACACAGACACGGGTTTGGGAGAACCAAGAAAGAAACTTGAATTGTTACACGTTTCTACATGAAGCCTTTTGCATACCGTCAACAAATCAGGACTGACATAAAACAGCAAGCTCTCTGCCCAGCTGGGGAAAAACGTCTAAAGGAAATGAGTTCCAAATGTATGGGCTTGTCGTCCTCTTACTTCAAAGTAATAGCTGGTTGGAAGAAAGCACTGAAGGTTTTGCTGTGAGCATGAAAACTCTTCCACTCTTGTTTTGGATTTTGTACAAAATAAATAAGGCCCAAGAAACACACAGTGTATGTAGCAGCTGCCGTAAACACAGTCTTACCTGAGGGATCCTGGACAATACTCATTTGCAGAGAGCTACATTTTCATAACGCTTTTGTGAAGATAGCTACCAAATTAAGGGTCACAGGAATTGTACTGAATGTGTTTTCTTAGTTGTTTCAAACTTTGATGTAATGCTAACGGCATTTCAGATTCTCAAACTGCCAGGGAAAAATCAGAACTCCTCAGAAAAACGCATTTTAAAATACAAAGGCCAAATCAACTCTTCAACTGATTAAATACCTTTCCTACACCGTGGTTCCTTACACACACCAGATGATAAAACGAACAGTTTTCACAGAAAACAGTCCTATTGGAAAGCCAGGTTCAGTGACAAATGGCAACTCGCCTACGTCAAACAGGAAGGAATGCTGGCTTAACGGACCTGCCTGTACTTTATGGAAAATGGAAGGAGGAAGGAGACAAGGGGAGTCGGTTATGTTTCACAAGAACAGACACAATGCACTTGAAAATTACTGTTTACACACCGGAGGGTTTGATTCTGGTATTTTCCTGCTACTTTGATTTGAGAGGGTTCATTCTTCTTTACTTGGCAAATGGCGGCTTCTTTCTTACTACAGAACGGTACTTCAACTTCTCCACAGACATTCAAATAAAACATATATTCCTTTCCATCTGAAGCGTAGTAAGAGGAGGACAGAGCTAAAGAAAGAGGAATACAGGAGGAGAGGCTCTGTTAGGTCCACAGGTGCTAGAGGGTGAGGGCATCACTTCAAGCACACCCGAGCCCCTTTCGGAAACATCCACCCAGGGGCAGAGGCGAAGTGGGCCCCTCTGCACACGTTCCCCCTTCCTGCTTCATTTCAAAGCACCCCTCACCTCCATCCTGTCGGAGTGGCTGGAGGTCAATGGTGATGTCATGCTGTTCGCTGCTCAGAGAGCAGGTTTTACTTTCCAGATAATCTCTGTGGCACGCATACTCAGTGATCCACTCAATTTCGTAGCGGCAGTTGGATTTTGCTGTGAGCTTGGGAATGGTGCCCTATCAGAAACAATTTGAAAGGAGCAAAATTAGTGTTTTTAAATGCAGATTTTCCATACTTCTGAAAAGCTCAAAGGTACGTTGTTGGGTTTTTACATTCTTCCGTTCCTGTTTCTGAATGATAACTACCCCTAACACAGTTCCAGCACTTGGCATATAACCACCCTGTTTACTTGCAACTGTTCTTGTCTCTTTCAGAGTCACACCCGAGGTCCAGCCTGGACTCGACATCACCCGACAGCCACAGCCTCCGCAAGCAGCCATGACTTGTGAAGGCACATGGTCTATTCCCTCCTTTCTATCGGAGCTGAAGGGAGCTGGCCAGATGAACCCCCAAGCTGAGTAGAAGTCACCGTGTGTGTGTGTCTGGGGAGATGGTCCGTAACTCCTTTCTTCAGGTTGTCAAAGGGGGTCTCGGACACACCTCACCGGTCCTTGAATCTGCTCTTGCCCCTGGGGGAAGCCAGGGCATCACCCGCCACAAACCCAAATTCTGCCAAAGACCTGCTTTTACAAATGTGAGCTCAGATGCTCGTGTTTGGGGTGAACAGGGAAGGATGCAATCACTGCTGACCAGAGCGCAGTGCACCCTCTCCCACCATCTTTGGGAGAAAGGCCTCGCTGGTCTTCGTACCAGGAATAGCCTTGCCGCTTCCAGGAAATACCCCTCGGCAAACGTTTCTTTTTTTTTTTTTTAAAGATTTTATTTATTTATTTGACAGAGAGAGCGAGAGCAGGAACACAAGCAGGGGGAGTGGGAGAGGGAGAAGCAGGCTTCCCGCTGAGCAGGGAGCCTGATGTGGGACT